TTATTTTTTGCCTTGATCAGATTGGTCAATGCTCTTTGCTGGGTTCGAAAAGCAAAGTGTGTGAAGGGCAAAGGCTGGCAGAAAAGTCAATGTGGTGCAATGAATCATTGTAGGCCTAAATATAAATGTTTTGGTCAATTCAGACATTTGATATAATGATATATTGGTTCTTTTTCAGTAGAAATCCGTTTGTATTTTTTGTTTTCAGTTCTTATCGTAATTGTACGAATTCCAAGAAACTTATCAAGCCTTTGGGAAAGGTTTTATTTGTATAATATAAATAAAAATAATAATGTATCATTTTGCTTGCTAAACTTAGCAGCAGTATTATTCAACCTATTTCAATTTGTGATTGTATCAATTGATTTTCAATTTCAACGCCTCTGCACGTGGCAACAGTGAGACAGAGAGGTGAAGCGAAAGAGCGCGATAAATGAATATGCAAAAGACATCACAAACGCCTAAGAATATTTACACATGTATTGACGCACCCGATTTAAGTACAAAAAAAGCTTACAGTTGCGTTCGCTTTTTCGCAAGCCTAAGGGTTTTATACCAAAATATTTTTTATAACTTAACTTTTCAATAAAGACATTATTATTATTATTTATGATTATTTACTAATTAAAATGGCTACTATAACTTTCAAATTATTTGAAAATAACTGTTGTTTTGTCCACAGCTGTGTGTTTAGATGGGTCAACGTTGTTGTATTTTTAGTTCCTTATGTACTTTAGGTTTCGTTTAAGTTAACATTTAATCGAGCGCTTTACAAAAAAAGGAGAAACACCTTAAACTTACTATAACATTTTATTGCTTGAATGTTGGGTAGTTGGAGCTTTATAAAGATGCAGTCTGGTCTGGTCAAAGTGCACTATGAAAATAACTTAACCGGTTGATTAGAGCTTCTTCAAAAGAATCAAATCCGATTTGATATACTTTTTGCTCATCACAAATAATAAGGCTTAATCTGATTGTATTATTGAGAACAGAATTTTTTCGTATTTTGACAAAGAACTCGAAGTGAAAAGAAAACAAAGAAGTTTCGTTTCTCTACTTATTTTCCAAATTACTTTTTCCACGTTTTTTTCGAGTATCACGACGAGTGCGGAAAACGACGTCGATCGACGCACTGCTGCAACTCGCGACTGAGTGGGGAAAATGCCGATCCCCTCGATGATCCCCTCTGCCGGCGGCGACTGCAACTTAGCAAAACACTTGTGGCAGAGAGAAACGAGAGAGTAAGAGAATGAACAAGCAGAGCGAAAGCGTTGCAATGTGAGAAAATGAGCGCCCCAATAAAAAGATTTTAGCAACATGATAATTATAGGGGAACTATGCTGCTGTAACCCAATCAAATTATTATTAGCGCCATTATTGTAAACAATAAAAATAAAGACGAAATATAGCTAGGTTTTGAAGAGATTAACTTAACTTCTCTGTTATCCTGTAGCTTTTTCTCAAAATCATTCATCAGTCTCTCTTGTCTTCCTTATTTCGCTTTTTTTGAGTTTACAATTTTTATTGACCCCGTCCACGGGAAATTTCACTTCCCGTTGTTAAAGAAAACACATACATTAAGGAGTACAAAGATCTGTGTTGTTACTGCCATATAGTCTGCCAACTGAAGGCGTGTCGTGGATTTTTAATAAGCAATGGAACAAGACATCGTCAGTTGACTGTCAGCCTTTAATTAATGTTTCTTAATAAATCCGAAAATGGCAATACACAAAAAGTGCATAACAACAAGGAACAGGAGAAAGAAAGGAAAGTTTCGAATGATGAGTACAAAAATATTTATATACAAAATGAAACCGCAAGCTATACACAACCTTATCCAGTTAACTATCAAATTTGGGGCAAATCCAACTGCAATTGGTGCACATTCCGACGCAACAAGTGAAATGCATTGCTATTTAAACCTGCAAAAACAAAAACGGTGCAAACAAAACCAAGTGAAAGTGCAGACACAGACGAACAAAGCAATTAAAACCACCAACCACTGCGATAAAGAGTGCGAAAAAAGCAGAGAAAAGTAATTAAAAGCAACACACAAATTCCCAATTGTCTGAGATAAAAAAGCCGCAAAGATAATAAGGCACTAGCTGTAAAACTGTAAATTAACATTTTTGAACTTGTACCTAATTACTTTCAAACTGTAATGGAGTTGTCCAATAGTTCATTTACAAGCTGTTAGTACTAGAACTAGAAATATATAGGAATGCAAGTTTCTCATCCAAGTACCACAGATAGTCGCGCTTTTTAAATCTACACTCTAAAAAACTTTAATAAGCTCAAGTTTTATAACTCTTTTAATGGGCGCTGACGTGTGAAAACAAGCTTTGAAGATGGACTGGATAAACAGCCTTTCAGTTTCGATTAAGACAGATAAGGGAAGACAGGAGAACTGTGTAGCTTTATTTTTAAAAAAAAAAAAAAAAAAAAAAAAAAAAAAAAAATTTTTATGTATTATATGTATTTGTATACATACATATAGGAAACCCAGTTTGGCCCAAGCTTCTGAATTTGTTCCTATTTCGTCTACTCTATGCTCGCGTCGAATCATTAATTGGATTGACCCACTTCGAACGGAGTCAGGCAATAACTATTCGAGGTTTGCCCAAAACTAAAGTTGGCCTAAAGTTTTCAACTTTGAAAAAAAAAAAACGGAAAAGCGCAAAGCCAAATTAAGAAAAAACTAGAGGGTAAATAAGTATGCAATAAAAGAGTTAGAAGCTTTTTGCACATGGCCACTAATAAAACAAAAGTGCTGCCAAAACTGTGCTTGAAACAAGTTCTTCGAGCAACAAATTTGAAAATTTGTTAACTGTAAAAATAGCATTTTTTGGGTCTAAACCAGTTAAAAGTTCTTATAATTTTTTTTACGAATTTTGTTTGCAGATTATTTTTCACTCACTTTACAAAAACCCTGACTTCAAATGTTTAAATTGACAAAGTAAAATCGTAAAGTCCAAAATTTTAATCAGAAATGTATATAATTCGCTTATCAATTTCAACAAGCTAACAAAAGGCTTTAATCTTATCATTAAAGTGGGGATCAAACTGTACTTTAGTTGTGAGCACAGATAAGAAAACTGCTAATAAAATACTTTGGTTGTTTTTAGTTCATAAGTTCATACCCTTTGCTATCGTAATTTTACAAAAATCACCTTTGGCCTTTTCTAGCCACGCCTCAGTGACCTTGAACTTATATATATGAATATATATCTATTGTCCTCCTTTCTCTCAGAGAAAATAAAATCAATAAGCTGATGCTGTAACGTCTGCCACGAAGTAAACTGAAATTTCCCCATTTTATATCTAATTTATCAACAGGTTGACTCATAGTGGACATGCAAACGGGTTCCCTCAGCATCTGCTCTTTCCATCATCATTATCAAGTTTCCAAGTAAGTGCAAACAACAAAAATCATAATAAACTTTTTTTTTCGTAGGTATGAATCATTTTGGCCGAGAGAAATTGTTTTTTTTTTCTTTTTGGCCCATCCTTGAACCCCAAACAATGAAACAAAATTACTAAAAGAAACTAGAAAAATGCTGAAGGCCCTGAAAGGCAAGAGCGAACTTATTTGCTCATGGGTTCATTCACATTATGGTCTGTTTTGGCCAACTTCTTTCATGGCGTGTGTAGGTTTCCATAAAGATTTGGCACTGATTCGCAATTCTGGCAATGACTGCACTTGACTTTGACTTTTGAAAGTTGATCAATTGAGTTGATCAGGTCAGTTGTTTACATTCAAATTTCAATGTTAGTCTAGTCTAATCTATACTAAATTGAATTTGTCACGGGAAGCAACAAGAAGTGACGCAAATTGTAGCGGAAGCAACGTAACAAACAATTGAGTTGGGTAACCACCAAAAACAAAACTGGATTTTCCAAATATATATTTTTCTCTTAACGACGTTAACAAATGCGTTTAAGTGTCGATTCGATTATTTGAAAACGCGGAACTAAATAAAATCGCATTTATTCAAATGAAAATAAAAATGTCATTGTAGCTATTGTGCGGAAAAAATAGGAATATAAAAGCAAATGAAGCGTAGCACAGACAAATTTATTTCTCTTCATATTGGCAAATAAGTTTAAAATTTCTTCTTATAAACTTTTGGGTTGGCCACAAACATTTCGAAATAGTAGCGAGAAGACTGCAATTTATTGTTATTTCTTTGTATTTCCCAATTACACTCTTTACTTTTTAACAGTGTCCTAAATTTAGGCTTGTGAAATCAAACAGTCTTGAATTTCAAAATTTAACGTGCCCACACACACAAAGACACAATGGGCGAAAAGCAGAAAGTAAAACCAGTTTCTGGCAAGAACTAAACAAAGCGCACCTAGCAACAACAAATGAATTACAGTGTTACGGTTCGTAAAAAACCGTCATTTAATTTATGAGTTTTTTTTATTTTAATTTGCTCCTTGGTCTACATATGTTTGTATCTAGTTAAAATATATAACAGAATTTGATGCTTGAACAATTACTATTTCAAATGTCAATTCGTCGTAACGAAGTTTTACTGTAAACTGCAGGGCGTGTGCGTTGGCGTCGTTGACGTTTGTATCTTTTTTTTTTATATTTATTTGTTACGTTTGGCTGCTGCCCATGACCATGCCAAACTGGTGCGACAGGGAGGAGGAGTGGGGGAAAGATTGCGAGTGGGACAGAGGTAGAGAGACCCCGGGCAATAGATTACATAAAACAGCAATGCAAATACATAAATACTTTAGCACCTTGCTGTTATCGCACTGTTTGAAATTGACTGTTATTGCTCGGTTTATTTTGTATATCATGAACCATATATTTATATTATGTTTTGAACTCGCATTTATTATTTGAAACAAAACGTGTCTACGAAGAAAATAACTTTCGCATAAACATTGTCACAGTTTTAGAAGCATTCACAGGCACATTTTCAGGTGAACCGTTATCTTTGGTTTGAGAGGAACTGTGGGGACTCGCCAGATTTTTTTCTACTCACGTTGCCGCGTCCTTGGGAACAATTTCCTCTGCAACAGCTTCGCTGACCGGCTGCTCCACCTTTACTTCGACGTCCATCTCGGAACTGGATGAGTATTCACTATCGCTAATTTCGATGACTTCTTCTTCCATGCGTGGCAATTTGTAGGAAATGCGAACAGCAACCAGAGTCCAGTGCTTGCCAAACGATGTTATTAGTCAATTCCCTTTTTTTTCACTGTTTTTCGCTTTTGCGTCAATCACACCGATGTGCGTGTGTGTGTCCCTTTGTATGTGAGTCGCACGCGCGTTGAGATAAAAATTCCCGCAATTCTGGTACCTTCTAATGCGTATTTCGTTTGCTGATAATAACTTTTCCGCTTAGGCTACCGATTTGACTGCACGTTTTTGGCCAATTAGGTGTTAATTTAGAAAATTGTATTTCGAATAGCCAAACGAACAGACGGAAAAAGCGTGACTAGAGGTGAAAACAAGGAAATCGATGTTTTATAAGTGTTGGGCAAGTCGATGGTCGACGGCGACTATCAATGCTTTTCCACCTCTTGCAGATTTTTTCATCGAACCACACAAGCATGGTTGGTGACTTCGGTCAAACAAATATTTTAAATAGCCTAGCCGAGACAGCAACCTGGTCAGCAAAGCGAATGCAGTTTCTTACCTTGCCAATGCAACAACCAAACTTAGCCGATTAACCCTCCAAATCTAGGGAAAGAGAACGGTTATTTTTTTTCGAAGTTTTACTGACAGGAGACGTAATTTTCAAGGTTTACAGTCCAGAACAAATTTTCATCCGATTGCAATGTGGCATACCTCTAAATGTTTGTAATCGCATCCTTGATGTCAGGAGACCTAATTCTCCAGGTCAACAGCCCATAATTTTGCCAATTTTCAGCCAATTCCAAAGTGGCTTACCTCTAAATGGTTGAAATCGCATACCTGAAAAATCTCCATTCAAAGTTTTCCATTTTCCAATGGTCGATTTTTTGACCCTTGTTCATGTCAGATTTTTTCAAGTCTAAAGATGTTTTGCTGACATTGATTTTGCGGGTAGGTTGTTGCTGTAAAGATCACAGACAAATGCTAAAAGATACCAGAGTTGTGAACTTATTGTCGTTCAATTTTGGCGCCCTTATGAAATTTAAAGTTTTTTGAAACTTAGGTGTGTTACCCCATAAACACACCAAAACAGTAGAATTAGTTATAAAAGGAATTGTTAAACGCTTGGTTTAAAGAAACCGTTTAAAGTTAGTACAGTAGAATCCGCTTATAGCGCTTTTAAGGGACCGACGAGTTTTCGTCGTTATACCCGGAAGACGCACTAAGCAAAAGGAAATAAGTGTATAAGTCTGTCTGGGGACCACTCAAGCCATCGAGTTTTCGTCGCAATACCCGGACGGACACTATAAGCGGAGTCGTTATCGATACAGTATATCGAATTCCTTTCAACTATCCTGTCAACTTTTGAAAGTTGATAGTAACAACACAATATTTTGTAAAGCGTTTTCTTTTGTTTCGCAGACTTACATTGTTGGTATTGCCAAATTTTTAAATAAAACTGCAATAAATTTGTTGGTTTGTTGGTTTGTTTTAAGAACATTTTTAAGCAATAAAAATTAAATTATATATTTTAATTTTATATTGCAAAGGTAAAGGACTATGGGTGTTCTCATCATTTTTAAACGCAACTACAAAATAAAAATATTCTTAAAGGTCTCGAAACTCCAAACTGGCAGTCAATTTAATATTAAATGGTGGTTGTCATCAATAGGGCAGAAGGAGAGGAGATCCACAAAAGAAAAACCCCAAACAAAACGTTGAAGAAAAATCCATATGTCATGTGCAAACACAATACATAAAGACGTATTCCAATGCCATAGATATATACGGAACTCTCTCGAAACAAATGGAGAGAACGGAATGCGATTGGTTCGGACGGAATGGCAATCGTTATGGAGAAGAATCGCAGAAGGCGAAACGAAGACAAATAATAGAAAAATTTCCGAACTCTTGGATACATTGTACATAAACATATAGAGGTGGCAAAGGTGCGAGACCAGAATTTATAAGCAATGCTATTTATAAGCAGCCGAAAAACGAACGCCCCCAGGCGAAAAAAACCCCATTATCGTATTTTACGTAAGAGCGAAAAAGATGGCATTTTAAAGTGCTGCTGCTCTCCTCCGAATCAGAAACACAAAAAGAAATACAAATAAACGGGACTCGAATGGAAACGAATGGGAAACGGAAAACGGTTGACAAAAAAATCAAAGCTTCGGCAAGAAAGAGACAGCTGCCTTGCCCCGAAAAGTATAATTCGTTGAATGTTTGTCATTTACTTTTTAATTGAAATTAAAATGTTTTTTGTCAAAAACAGCTGCGCAAACTCCAAGTAAAAGCAACTTTTTATTTTTTATTTCGGGCAATGCATTTATTTTAATTTACTTTGCAACAGAAAATTCCAAAACAATTGTCATTTGTTTATATAAGGCGTCGGCCATGGGCGGGAGCGAGAAAGCAAACATATACAACTGGCTATGCAAATATGCTGCTCTCTCGTTCGCTCATGTTTATTGGTTGCAGCCCACCTGAGCGTGCGACAAGGAAGGCGAGAGTATGAGAGAGAGGGCCGAGGCTGAAACGAAATGAAATTGAAATGAAAAAGGTTTTTTTCTTGGGGCAGCGAGAGAGAGAGGGAGGATTTGAGGAACTCGCACAAACGAATTGAAAAAATAAATAAAACAAATGCGAGAGAGAGAGAGCGATTACTTGTGTGTCATTGTATTTTTCGGGGTTGCACACACAAATACAGCGATCAATCGCACATACCACTCCCCTTTTTGGCCTGGTATTGGTGTAATGCGAGACGTGCCACAGACATTCGTAAAACGCAACTCGTATTCGTATTCTGGTTTTGCACAATCGCAGATACAGATACACTCGCTCGCTCTCACAGATACGTATACATTCGCCTGCTCTGCCGCTGCGCTGCCGCCGTCGCTGCCACGAAAATCCGAAACGAATCGAATCGAAACTTGCCTTTCATTACGAATTTGTCATTCGTAAGCGAAGGTAATGCAATAAAACTTTTGCGCGCGCATTTCTCTCAGTACATAACGGTAGCGCTTCGTCTGTGTGTGTGGGTGGGCTAAAAAAATACAACTTGCTAGTGCCTTCTCGCTCACTCTGACGCGCTGGCCGCCTCTTGCCATCCCGCTCTCAGTCGATTCCCATTCGAATGCAATTCGTTTCGTTGATTTCTCCGATTCGCGAAAGAGTGGGGGAAGGGGAACCAGAAGCAGAAGCAGCGAAGCCAACGTCGCCGTGGCAGCGGAGTCGCTGGCATCTCTCAATCCCTCAATCTCTCAGTGACAATCCGTCGGTACGGTACTCGAAAACGGACACCGCTCCGGTTTCCCAAATTCCTCTACGAAAACGGTTATCCGAACTCGATAAAACGGTCTAACGGAATAAATCAAAATATTGAAAATATATTTCAAGGCGAATTTCAAAGCTATAATCTTTAATCAACACACAGTGCGCGAGTGTCTTGTGTCAGTGCATTTGAGTTTTAGTATAACTTTTAGACCCATTAAAGGTAAATCTATTATCTTTTTCGAAACAATTAAACAGGGTTGACAGAAGGCGCATTTATGCAAATCGGTATTTAACTTAAAATTTGTTTAAAAAAAATAAATTTAAGTTTTTATTGGTAACACAATTTTTGACATACCAGTTAATATCTTACATTCCAACTGTAAAAAGAATAAATCCGTGTTTACTTTCTTTCTTCTGTACATAGTTTAATAAACTAAATATATTTGTCCAAGTTATTGGTTCCCATTAGGAAAAACTAGCTTTCAAGACTACAAAATTTTACAACATTTCGTCATGTTACAGAAAGTTTTATAAAATCCTACATTTCGTTAGGAAAAATGTTATTATTGTAGCTAGGTTTGTATCAGATTAGGGGTACAACTAGGAGTGTTACAAATATATTTAAATATTAAAAGCCATTAACTCACGGATGTGACTAAACGAGCGAAGCTTAATTAAAATTTGCATAAAGAGCCTAATAAATAATTAAAAATGAATTAAAAGTTCATTAATTATTTATCTCCCTCTCTTAGTATCACTTTTCTATTTCTTTCTAACTTTGTGTTATTTTTTTTACGATAGAAAAACCCACACATTAAAGAATCATTTTGAAAGTAAACAAACAAAAGTGTCGGCCATGACGAAGTATGGATTCTGTGACAAGTGAACAGAGTGAAAAGAACAACAATAAATCGGGCGCAATAAATAACAATATTAGTGGAATTGAAAGAGCCACGGGCAAAATGAACACCACCGCCATGTTGATGCACCACCAGCAACAGCAGCAGGCGGCAGCAGCCGCAGCTGCCCAGCAGCAACAGCAGCAACACAACGGTCGCGACGGGAGCAACAGTTCGCGAGGAGCCAACGAGGATCGTCCGAATGGCCGGAGCTCCCACACAGGACGCGGCTCCAGTTGCTCACCGGCCAGTTCCCCGAGTCGTCATCCCAGTGCCGTGAGTCCTGTGAGCTCCTTGAACCACTCCATGATGCAGCAGATGCAGCAGCAACAGCAGCAGGCGCAACAGCAGCAGCAACAACAGCAGCAGCACCATCAGCTCAGTCCCCCGCCACACGGAATGCCATCGGGCAATGGTCTGCCGGCGGGCTTGCCACCAAGAATGCCCCACGGACTGCCGCCCCATTCGCTGGGACTCCTGAACTCCCTGCAGATGATGCACCATGCCTCCCCCTTGGAGCTGATGGCCGCTGCCCATCATCATGTGCCGCCAAGGTCGTACAATTCACCGCCACCGATCTCAACCTCGGATCCCAGTGCCAATGAGTGCAAATTGGTGGAGTACCGGGGTCAGAAGGTCGCCGCTTTCATAATTAGCAACGAAACCATGCTCTGCCTGCCGCAGGCCTTTGAGCTTTTCCTAAAGCACCTGGTTGGCGGTCTGCATACGGTCTATACTAAATTGAAACGATTGGACATCGTACCGCTCGTCTGCAATGTGGAACAGGTGCGCATATTGCGCGGGTTGGGCGCCATTCAGCCGGGAGTGAATCGCTGCAAGTTGCTCTGCTGCAAGGACTTCGACGTCCTCTACAGGGATTGCACCACGGCCAGGTACGAACGAATAACAAAACAATGGGAGTAGTCCTCCAAGCAGTTGCAAGTTATTTTTATCTAATTTTGTTCTTTTTTACTTACTTTTTTTTCTACCTTTGAAAACTAGACAAGATTACAATTTTTAAATTTAATATTCCATTTCTAAAAGCTAATTTTTTTGTAGTTTATTGCTTTTCAATTTAATTGCCAGGAGTTGTCGAGGTTTTTTAATATTTTGTTGGCTCAAGTTCTTAAGTTTCTATCTCTCTATTTTGCCGAGTGCATGTGCCCAGTTAGTTGCATTTCTAGTTCGGGGTTTGCTCTGCAAAATTTTCTCATTTCCTGTTTCCGTTTTAGCCAACTTACGCACTCAACTTGCACCCTCCGCCGCCTCCCCCGCCCATTTTTAATATTGCAACGGGCGCAATGCAAATAGTTTGTGCATCGATATCGATTAACCCGGGCAATCAAAAAACTTTCGTCTCGCATTTCGCCTTTTTGCCTTTTCCGATGACATTTGGCGGAAATACGCAATGCAAACGTAACGCTCCCCTTAACCCTTTTGCTAACTATCCGAAAGCTGCGTAATTCTTTTGAGCGCCTCTAACAATAGTTGGTGAAACAGTTTTCCACCTTGTACAACTTTTCCTCCTGTTCCATCCGATATTTTCCTGCAATCGACGTGTGCGGTGCGCTGTCAGCTCATTTCCGTTCGAGTGGAAAAAACGACAAGCAAAACAGCACAAAGAAATAGGTTTTGTTTTCGCGTAATTGGTGGGGGAGATCTAGGAGTTACTCGGTTTAAAATTCTTCATGGTTACATTTTGCACCGTAGTTACAAAAAATTAAGGAAGTGCTATTGTCCTTGGTAACAGTTAGTTTTGCAAATTAGTCAGATAAATGCTTTTTTCCTATAACCTCTTATTAATTTAAGGATCACGACTTACTAATCTAGGGTCTCTGAATCCTGGAAAAACCTTTTAGGAGAACGTGTTTTTTAATATCAAGCCTATAAAACCTAATTAAAGGCTATCATGCCGGCTGAGCCCCCAACGAAACTTAATATTTTATGGATATTTAAACATCCCCTGCCCGAAAGCTTTCCAAAAACATTAGCGAACAGTCCTGACCAAACATTAAGACATCAAAAGTCGAAAAGATTACAACCTTGTATTCCAATATTACTCCTTTTTTTGGGTTCAGTTCGTTTTTTGCTTTGTTTGTAAGCCGGTAAAGAGTCCTGCGTTTTTGTTTACAGTTCTCAAGTGCATTGAAGAACGGGTTGTACTGACCGCTGACCACAATGCAGTCGATGGAAAGCCATCTAGTTAATTATGGAAAAGGGCCGAGCCACATGCATGGAGTGTGCTCCAAAGTGCACATGCGCTTTGGGGAGAGAACTAACCACACAGTAAAAAATGTTGATATTTTTGGACATAGTAACCAATTCTTTTTAGAACATATTAAATAAAATGAATTAAAAAGTGTTTGAAAGAATTAAAACAGTATTTTTGGGGTTGAGTGTGCAAAAAGAATCACTTTTTAAAATAGATTCAAGATTTGTGAAGGTTTTTAATATACTGAAATCCTCAGAAAAATATTATATATTATTCCATATAATAGTTAAATTAAAATCATCAGTTATTTAATATTTGTAAAATATTTTTTTCAATGGAAAATTGAGCGGAGAACGCGAACAGAAACGAAGACCAAGTGCTAGTGCGATTCCCGGTTTCAAAAACCGAGCCGGACCAAACATGAGGCACGGTTAAAAATGCGGTTAAACCTATTATTAGGTTGAAAAAGTTTTGCGCTAAATTGAAACAAGTTGGGAGAGCGAAAGGGGAAATGCGAAACCGCTAAAGGCACCGCTCTCTGGGGATAATTACAAATGGGTTGACCATTGGGGGGTTAAAGGGGCCTTTGGGGGGTTACAGGGCGTGTGCATTTTCACACCCGCTTGCCCGCCGAAACTGCAGCCCAAGTCCATCAATGAAAACTTCCCTTTTAGCCTTTGTACCCTGAATTTTTAGCCGTATTTCTTTCCGTTTCGTTGCAGTCCTTTTTTTTTGTATTAAAGCTTACACACAACGTTTAACAATTTTGCCTCACTTGTCTCTTCTTCTTCTCTTTTTAATTGCAGATGCCTATCGATCAAGCCACCAGAGAGGTAAACACACAAGTATAATAAAAAAACTATGGCAATAATTTCTCTCCTTCTACCTTTGGTTTTTTTGTTTTTATTTATTTTACGAAGGAAAAAAAGTATCGAATCGATACACTTGAGAGTTTTTAGAGCGAAAAGAAATTGTTTATTAAATTAATTAAACTCGAAACGGAAATTGGGCGAGTCTCGATGGTCGGAAGTCGTAAGGATATGCCAGATAAAAAGTGCAAAAAATATTGTATTAGAGTTGTAAATAGAGCGTGAAAAAGGGCGTTTTTTCGATAAGAATTTTCTGAAAAGGCATAACGGTGATAACGGTAGATGAAACAGGTGTGTGGATTGATTTCTCAAGATACCAAATTTCAGGAAGTGTTCCGAAAGTCAAAAAAGTATCGTTGCTTAAAACGTAGTTTAAATTTAAAAGTCAGGCCTTAAAGAAGACGATCAATACCAACTTGCAACTGGAAGCACAATTTGAAAGTTAGATAGTTTTTGTTTAAACTCCCTACATTTTCACTCTAAAACACTCTTGAGCTCATCAAATTGTACTCTCCTTTTGTTAAAATCAAAACTTATGTTGCAATAATTTTTTTATTATATTTGTTTGCCTTTGTTGGGGGCTTCTTCCATATACATATAGTTTTGTTTACGTACCAAGCTCATAATTACAAAAATTATTGACACTGACATTTCATGGGTTCGTTTAATTTTTGTCAGCATTTTTGTATGAGTCGCAGTTGGTTCAGTCAATTTGGTTTGGCAAATGGCAAACAATTGATTTTGATCACAGTTGACAGTTTGGTCTCCACTCCTCTCTCGGCATTTTTTTTTTTACCTAACTTGGCTAAAACGGCGTTTAAGCGGCGTCGACCAAAAGGCAGAAAAGCCGGAGAGGCAAACGCTAAACTCCAATGAGCCACAACAACGTGTTGTGACCGATCTGGTGGGCACACCTTTCCACTAAATTGGACTAAAGCCGTACTTGGCCGAAGACTTACCGATCCGCTCCGATCGAAGCTATGGACTTGCAGACCACAACTATGCAAATTGCTCGGGCCAAGTGGAAAATGTTGGACCAAACAAAAAAAAGAAAAACGAATTGAAAAGGCGATTGATTTGACTTCATCTGAGTTTAATTTGTTGTTAAATTAGTCTGAGTGAAGAATGAGGGGAAAGAAGCGAGATAAATGAGTGGGTGAGTTTGTGAGACTAATAGAAAAATAGCAATGTGAATAGTGGGCTATACAAATTGAGGTTTCTACCTGCAGTAAAAAAGTACACCAATATAAGGAAACAAAATAAGGATAGTTTTTGATCAATATTTTTAGTTTTAAACAATTACATATGCCAAAGCTAAAAAAATAAGCAAAATTAGGACAATTAAGTCAAATGGCAGAACGAAAAAAACTTTCCCATAAATCTTGAGAACCAGAAAAGCGATGGCGCGAATTCAAATTGATTACAAATAACTTAACACAAATTACGACAGCCCATTGATTTATTATATGGATTTCATATGCACGGTTTCGGTTGTAGAGACAGACTATAATTTATGCTATCCAACAATAGCGGCGACTGTCGAATGACTGACTGACAATCAAGAGATCAACTCAACTCAGTCGAACTCCTCGGGCTGTCAAAAATGAGAGGCGGAAAAGTGTTGCAAGGAAAGACAGGCGGTAAACAAAAAATAAATTTAATTATATTAAATTTCTAAAATAATTCGAGTCTATGATTTTCGAGGTGTGAGTTTCGGTACGGGCCATTTGCATTTTGCAAATTCAGCTTAATTGAGTGTAACCGAATAACAAAAGCAACATTGTGGCTGCCTCTCGGTTCAATCTAAATGAAGCAACAATAGTTAATTTATTTTTATAATAATTACAGAGCCTAAAACAAAACTGCACCCAGCACTTGTATATAGTAGTCTAGTTCGTATTCTCTCAGCATCATGAGATGCTATATAGCTGGTGGTGAGGGAAGTAAGGGGTGATCTTGGGTAGTCATCCAACCCATTGTTGGTGTGGCATGTTTGTAACTACATTTTTTGCTGCCCGTTGTTCGGTTTTTTGTTGCGAACTAAATGAGTTATTAGCACGCCAATTGAAATTGAAGTGAGTGAGGAAAAAAACAATGTATGCAAAAAACAATCGCCAAGAAATCTGCATTAAAGTTGGTCCGTTGGTCCGCGGGGAAATCGCAAGTCGCTCGAGGAAATTATATGGCTATAACTTGGGGAGGAAAGAAGGCCACCCAAAATTTGTAATTACCATATGGTTTTCATTTAAATATTGGAATAGGCAAGACCTTTTTATACAAAAGTGTCGGACGGAAGCAAACTTTGAGGATTTCCCAGGAATAAATTAAAAAATATATTTGCAAAACAAAACAGTTTTTTAGTCAAATCCGACTGTTGTTTTGAAGTCATTCCAGTCATAGCTAGTTAAAGTTGTCCTATAGCTTTAATTCCAATTGGCGGTGGCTTTCATTAAATGCTGTACTTGACCATTTGGAGAGGCAAAGACCGCAAAACCAACAATTAGCCTGGGAGCATCTCCCCACAAAACCCTTGTGCGAATGCCATGTCATTCGTACATTTGCATGTCATTTAACAATGAATACGAAAGTCGACTGAAGTCAGCGATGTCTCGTTGGGCTCAATGCAAATTCCAATAACATTTATTGTTAACAGCGAAAGAAATTCGAGCCAACTTCAAGCGCCAAGCCAAAGGGGTATTCTTTCCCGGCTTCTTTCTGCGAATTCTCGTTGTCGGCCGACGGCTTTGAAAACAAATGGCAGAGGTTCGAAGGGGCGAGAATCAATTTGAGGCTATGGATTCAATTAACATTCTGCTAGTGAGTGCTCACAAAGCCCATTGGTAATTGCGAATATGGAAATTGTGTTGCAGGCACACATTTAATTGTCGGTTAGTTGGATTGCATTGATTTAGTTGCCGGCAAACACGCTCCACAACGGCGCAAGGTGGCAACTTGGCCATAACTATAATTGATTTGCCAATTTGCAGCTTAGTCCCGGTTTCTGGACTTCGACTTAATGCCCGGGGGCAGTGGGTTAAGCCCTGGGAGTGCGGATTTGCTGACAAATGCTGGGAACGCCTTCCCCAACCGATTTGCAATCGCAGTTGAAACTATCGATTCGATTTGAAACGATTCCATGCGATTCGATTCGATTCGATCGATTTGTGCAACGGCCAGTGGCACATTTAACACAGTTTGGCGCATATTTTGGCGGCTGTTTCTCAAGCGTCCCGGCCACAAGTCAATAATTAACAACTCAGCTATCCCTTGATTATTGAAATATACGAACGAGACAGCTGCAAACAGGTTCGAGCCTTGTGTGGCAAAAGTGGCAAAAGTTTTGCGGCAACCGGTTCCTCTCCGCCGGTTGCTATTATTTTGTATTTTGTTGTACTTGTTTTGGCAGGCATTGGCCACAGCCACTATTTTGACAAATTGTTGTTTATTCCTGACTAAACGTTTGTCCGCAGCGCGAAAAATGCAAAATGACATTTGCGGCGAGCAACAACGGTGCATAAATTAGTAAAAATGGCAGTTGGTTCGTTCGAAAGATTGGAATTTGGTCCCAAACCAATAAAAATTGTACATGAAACTCAAATGACCAGATAATTTGTTATTAGACTTATCCGGCATTATGCAGTGTGTGATAAATGACTTTAATAAAGTTTAATTGATTTTGTTTGCAGTAGTTTTGTGTAGTAGTTCACAAGGCCATTTAACAAAAGCTCAACCAGATAAGCTAGCTTTTTCCTTGAAACCTATTTCGCTGACCATTAATGTTGCATAATCAATCCAATCTTATCCACAACCCATATTCCAGTGAAACCAAACCAAATTTTGTGAACAGGACAAACATGTCAGTGCTTCAGAACCGAAAACTTTCCAATGAAAGTGTTGCCCGCACAACCTGCAGCCCACTTCCCATAAATTCATACAAGTTGACTGACAGACGCACGGGTCTTGGATTTTTTTTGCACGTCATACGGGGGAACGGCCTTCCGATTAGATCCCGAAAAACACTTTCGCTAGCCCTCTAGAAAAAACATTGTTTTCACTCCCGGAATGATTCATGGCGAAGAGTCTCTCTTTATTTGACCCAAAGGGGCCAAGAAAACAACTCCGGTTTGTTTGTCGTTAAACGTTTAATGGAGCACAATTAAAATCCAGCCGCAAATATTGGCTGTGGCAATATGTAACTGTAAATATTTGGTAGAATCGTTATCCGAAGAACGCACAATTACAAATTGTTCAGAGTTTCATCATAAATATATATGTGTATATATATAGTATGGTAAGATCGTAATTTATATCGTGCACACGATCATTGCTACCTGTGTTTATTTGCCATTGTCTTTGTCTTCGGCTTCTAAGGGGGCACCTGTGTACCAGCGGTAAACATGGAATGAAGATTCCATAATTTAATTGCTATAGGAACCATCTGGAGTCTCCGGACAGGTGGAGTAGGGGTCGCTCTATTTGATTAAGACCCGGCTCCCCTCGTAGTATTTGCCGCCTTAAGTCAGCTTTGTTTTTTGTCGGATTCCAACTCAGGGGTTTCTTTGGGGGTTTTATCTCATGTTTGTCATATATTTTCCACCCGCTGCGCCAAGTTGTTTATGCCTTTTCGGTTAACTATTTAGCTTAACCTGCGTCAAGTATTTGCCCAAGACTTGTTTAAATATTTAATATACAAATAGCAGCAATTGCGGGCATAAATTACTAGAAAAAATAGTTGAACTCTTTTTTGTTCTTCCTCTCTTTGTGGCTTCACTTTATTATTGTTGCTGTTTCGGGTTGTACATTTTTTTATGGCACATAATTAAAATGGTAGCACGTTTTCATTCTTCTCGTTTTGGGCTTTTTATTTGTCCCAAGTCAACGGGGTGCTCACTAAAGTCGGTTAAAGCTTAATTAGGCAATGCAACTTGTGGGCGAGCGGCAGGGGATACGACTTTAAAATTAAATTTTCGGAGGGGAACTTATGAAACAGCAAGATTCTTCATAATAGTTAAGCCGTGATGGATGCGTTTATGGGGAGACAGGCCATCAAAGAATTATAGACATTTTTTGTAAAGGCAAATAAACCTTTAAAATTTACAACAATATTATTTAAAAATATTCAGCAAGGTCTGAGGAATATAAATCATGCTGAGGGCCTTAAATCAATATAAATTATTTACCATGGCTTGAAACGTGCGAACTTCCATATTCTCTAGTTTCTTAATAATTTTCTGTTGAGTCATAAAAAGTTTTTTAATTCCTTAAAACTTAGTATGCATATTTTATTTTCAATCTTAAAACTCTCAAGTTGTAAAAAAACACCAAATATATTTTTCAAAACCACTTAAATAATCAGCGTGAAAATGCAGCAGCACAATGCAGACATTGGCATTTAATCACCTCATTATCCTCTCATAAATTTGCTGAATTGTGATCACTGTGCTGAGGCATTTGGCATTTTTTTGTACTGATACCACGGATATTGTCCATTGCTCTCAACCCAACAGTAACTCTCTGCAATTCCGCAGTTCCAGACCGGGTAGACCGCCCAAAAGGGGACCCGTGGGGCTTTCCCTGCCGCCCACTCACCTTTCGCAACATCCGCAGCTGAAGAAGCATCGCCTGGACAACGGCGACTACGCTTATGAGAATGGGCACATTAGTGGTAAGTCAATCAATACAATGTTGCAAATACATACAAAAAAAAAATATTACTATAAATATTTAGCGTAAAAAAAACGAAATTCTATAAGGATAGTACTTTAAAAATAATTATTTGTAGTTGTCCGATCGCATTTTAATTATAAGGGAGAGTGATACAATTTGGCTCTAGTTAAAAACAAATAAATAAACTCTTTTTTTTGTCTGTGCACTACAAATCCCCACTGGCTATGGGCAATTGCAATTCTCACACAATTGAGTGGAATGGGCGTAAAGGCCACGAATTCGGATTCGAATGGTAATGAAATCATTCCCAGATTGGCCACAAAACTCGCTTTTGGGGATCGTCGGCGATTGTGTTTCTTTTTTTGCTTCCCTAACCGATCGATGATCGTCGCTGCCGCCATTTGTGATTTGTGGTCGCTGCTTGTTGGCTGATTACAGCTTACAGCTGCCAAACGAACAAAAACGAAACGGATACACAGCCAGAGCCACAGATACAGATACTTTGGCTACGTTCCCAGCAAAGCAGAGCCAGAGCCACAGATAAATGGCAGCCAGAGCCACAATCAAGTTGAATTCCACTGTTATTTGTACACAGGCACAGGAAATCGCATTCAGTTGAATTTTTCGAGTTGTATCTGTGTCTGTAATTATGATAAGTACAAGCGCACTCGTATTTAATTGATTTTAACATATTTTTCTATGATCGCAAAAGGGAGAAAGAGAGTCCCGGCTGACAACTTGGTCAACGCCCCTTTCTATTAATGTGTCCGAAACGCACAATATTGAAAGATACCCGAACAGCAACAAAAGCCCAATCGAAAGAAATCTCAAAATCTTTTTCTTTAGAACCATGCGCCGCCGGCGCCTTCTGAAACGAAGATGGGTCCGAAAACTGTTTGGTTTTTTTCGCCTCGTCACTGCTGGCCATAAAGAAAAAGGTTCACTGCCTGAATTATGGGGCGTTGATACTTGAGTGATATTGCATTATTAACGAAAAGTGCACAACGCATTTCTATAAATTTTTAACTGCATTTTCACATGTAAAAACCATCGTTTAATTGCATTCCAAAGCGAACGAATTTTCGCCAATTTACCATGTATGCACTTTAGTGAATTTTAAAGCATTTAATGGCCCACTAAATTGCTTAAATTCATATAGCCATATACACAAGCTTGTGCAAACCGGCTGTAAACAAATGACAGCCGTAGATACACACGCCAGATACAAAAGTATCTATGTAACTAGCGTGTGCGTGGGTGTTTTAGTTGTTGTGTTTAGTCTGGCCGCTCAGACAATAGACATGCTATATAAAGTTATATGCAAAGTACAGGTATATTTGGCAGACAGCGACAGAAACAGGTGTCAGTTGGGGAAGCCATCAAAATGAAAGGAAAATATTTTTGAGGATGGGTAGGTGAATATGCGTTTTCAAATTAAAATATTTACCAAGGTCCAGGGCAAAAGCAAAATAATTATTGATTAACGTTTAAGTGGTCTGGTTAAGTGGCTTGCATTAGTGTTGGCAGCTGATTTGGCCTGCATTTGTTTTTAGTTTTTGAGGATTTTAATTGGAAAACAATTAGTAAATAGTTCCATATTCTACTTATTTCTTTTGCAGACATGAAGTCGCCGCTTTTGGCTAATGGCTACAATCCGCCGCCCATCAATCACATGGCCTTCATGCAGATGAACGCCCACCATCCGGCTTTAATGTCGCCGGGAATGCCGCCCCATGGACTGCACGCCCGTCCCGAAAGCCAGATGCTCAAGGCCGCTGCCCAAAACGCCGGCATGTCGGCGGCCAACATGGACGCCCTGGCCAGATCCGGAATCTGGGAGAACTGCCGGGCGGCCTACGAGGACATCGTTAAGCATTTGGAGCGGTTGCGGGAGGAGCGGACGGACGAGCGGCAGCAGGCGATGGGCGTCGGCGGAGCGGTCGTAGACCGGGTAGGAAACGTGATGGTGGCCGAGCACAAGCCCAGGGATCTCAGCTCCAGGAATTGTAAGTAACTAAAGTGAAGTTAAAAACTTAGGATAAAATATATATAAAACATAAAAAGATAATAGATTTGTTATAATAATTCTTTGAAAAGTAACATATTAATTTTTTAGTCAGAAACAATAAGATAACTAACAGACATATTATTTATTTTAAATATATCTTTTAATAACAAATTGCATTTAATAAATTAAATTACCATTTTAAAATATATTTAAATTATTTAGCTAAAGAAAACATTTTCTGTTTCTTTGCAAACATGTTTTATCTTCAATTAAATGTTTATTTAATTATATTTTTTTCAGGTTCTCCCACGCGCCAGAGTCCGGTTTTGAATCTGAGCAAGTCCGGCGGAAATACGGATCACGGCGGAAGCAACTGCGACGCGGGCAGCGAACGGAGTGACTGCCACTCGGTGGCAGGATCCCCGGGAAGAGGCGGCTCCCGCAGCTTGGACGAGGGCAGTCGCAGTGGCGTCGGAGGGGGCGTGGCATCCCATGTTAGTGGCGGCATAATCGGGGTGGAGGACGACGAGGAGGAGGAGGAGAACCTGAGCGACGAGAACCAATCCGAAGTCGATGAACGCTGCCTGGCCAAAGATGACGAAGGTGAGTGGACTTTACATTGATTTCATCTTGTTTCCTAAGAAATGCGCGATAAGCGACGATAAACGCCCGATAAGCAGTGCACGTTCTGCGATAACCGATAAATGTGTTTTTCTGTGACATGTCTTACTAACTTCGTTTGGAATTTGTGCTTTTGTTTTGCTCTTCTTCTCTGTCAGATTTGAGTGACACGGAACGTGATAATCTGTCCACCCACCAGACGGTGGGCCTTTCCCACTTGGGGGTGGTGGCCCCACATCAGCGGGCTTCGCCCTCATCATCCGCAGAGGCGGCAGCCGCCGCCATCCAGCACCAAAGAGCCTTGAACTACTCGCAGTTGGCGCAGGTGGCCAATGGACCAGCGGTTGGTGCTGGTGCTCTGACCCCCAATGAGGCTCTCCTGGCGGCCAACGATGCGGCCGCCTTGGCCGGTGGCCTGGCCCTGGGTCCTTTGGGCATGGATGGCCATGCCGGTGTTCCAGCCAGCTCCACGGAAACGCTGCTCAGAAATATCCAGAGTTTGCTCAAGGTGGCCGCCGATAATGCCAGGCAGCAGGAGCGACAAATTAGCTACGAAAAAGGTAAGATTATATGAAACACTTTTGTTTGAAAATTACAAAAAATAATATACAAAATAAATATGTTTATTTAAAAATCCTGAACAGCAAAATAGCTATTTTTTCTACTTAAAAAAATGTTTTTACTGTCATAATTAATTCTTGTGTTATTTCTATTTAATTCAATTCCAGCTGAGCTCAAGATGGACGTCCTGCGAGAACGTGAAGTGAAAGATTCGTTGGAACGTCAGCTTGTCGATGAAAGAAAACTGAGAGGTAAGTCAAACAAAAATAGTTTCCACACCTTAAACAAGACTACAAATCGTAGGCCTTCAAAGGTTCTCCTTAACTTTGTTTACAACCTTTTTTGTTAGATATTTGTCTGTTCAAAATCTTCACGAACCGAAAACCGGTTCACATTAGCGTCAGTTCACTGTGAGTAGCGATCCATCCCAAGTTGGTGCTGCAAATCAGTCCTGACACTGCGCCACATCCACGTCCATGTCCACACTTAGCTCCAGATACAGATTCATATTCGTACTGAGATCCCGGCCAGCTCCTTTTGCCCTGCCTATGCCGATTCCGACTCAAATCGGGCGCACTTAATGCAATCTGACTCAAATGACAATGACACCTGATATGCCGACTGTCTGCGAATGCCCCCCTCTTTTCCCCTTTGAGTTCCCCTTGGCCCCAACCACTCTGGTGGTCGTCGCCAGGTTGCAGGAAGAAAAAAATATAAAGGGTTTAAGGGCTCAGGCTGCCGTTCAGTCTCCTTTGCCTTTTTCAACAGAAATCACAATTCAAATGAATTTAATATCATTTCATTATTTAGTTACACTCGAGTGATTGGCAAAAAGTAGCCAAACAAAAAGGAGTTGAATGGGGGGGAAAACTGGAACCTGAGTTGCAGAGACAGAAATCCTTTAATTGGTTGTTGTTCTGGCGTTTCCTTCTCCTGACTTCTTGAAAAGACTCTTAAAGGGTTGTCAAGGGTTAAGGGTTGGTTACCTCTACAAAAGCCAGCGGCGGAGAAGAACTAATCCTAATTGAAGGAAGTTTAAATAACAGAATCAGCTCAGCCAATTAAATAAAAATAAACCTTAAACCAGATGCACATGAGTTAATCCTAAAAATATATTTTATTGAAAAGTGGCCAAATTAGTTGCGCACGATTTTAGAGGGTTAAACTTTAAAATCTATTTTGTTACAAAGAATTGCAAATGAGTTGCCTAAAAGCTATTAGGTTAATTCTCCAATAATAAGCTCTTGCACTCGATAATTTTTCAATTGCATTTGCCAAAAATTGATCCATATATTGGCCGCTACTCGGCAATCAGTCGCAATTCATTAGGCTTACAACTACTGCAGTTTCTCCTGCCCAAAGGCAACCCTCAAATTTAGAAGCCGCCATTGAGCTGCCCAAAAAAAAAAAACAAAAAGAAGGAGCTCCACCCAAAAATGCAAGCAACAAAAACAGCTGAATTACAATGCGAAAACAAAGGGAACCAGGGCACACTATAATTGCCCACCAACTGACCGACCGACCCGGCCATAACTTAATCTCTTTTCCCCCTTCGGTTTGTGAGAAAATTATGGAGGGGAAAAGCAGCACATAAATCAGCAAACAAAAACCGAAAAAATTGCATGCAACTATGCAAAATGCCACACAGGCACATAGACATCTAATTGCAACTAATAATAACGCCGGCGATAAAAATCGCTGCCATGTAGTACGAGTTTGAGTTTGAGTTTCCACTTTTCGAGTTCAGAACATGGCAACAATTGGCCATTTGCAACGGAAGAGCGTGGGTGCTGGCGCAATAGCGAAATCGAATGGAATGATGCCTCAGATGGAGGGCAATGCCGTGAACCGATCCTCGCTGAAATTCAATATGCCTGCAACAGTTTTTGGATTTGATTTGAGGTTGATTTTGTGGCTCCACCCTCAAAACGGCTGTCACCACGCTTCATCGCATCCATCCACAGCGATCACACTCGTAAAAAAACTGATTTAAAACCAATAAAATGTCTATCTTTGTAAAATCAGATAGTAACTATACCTTAAAAAGCGTTTTTATCAGTTTTTAAAATTAATGTTTTGAACTTATGAATTTCAAGTTTAAATTGTTTTGAAGAACATTCCACAAACTACATGTAAAAATTTTTACTAGAGACTTGCAGCGTATCATACACATTTTTTTTTCTTTTTGAGGCCAATACATTGTATTCTATTTTCTGTGTGTTTTTCTATGGCTCGCGATCTGGAATGATTGCAAGTCAGGATCAATAAACATAATTGCGCCCACACACACGGCCGGATGCGCACTTGAATTGGCACAGGCAACGAGCCAGAGAAGTAAGGCCAGAACTAAACCCAGATCGAAAACCAGAACCGGAGAGCCCCAGAATCGTTTGAATCGATCAAATTACCAGTTGCCAGTCCGAGATTGCCGCACGATCTATCGCTAAGTTGGCTCAGTATTTGCTGTTTGATGTCTGATGTTGTTCTTCTCTCGGGGCAAACGCTGTTCTTTTCCAATCTCCTGACATTTCCGTAGAAGGAATGTGTTAATGCTCGCATCTTGATTTGTGTAAAGATCGTATTTATGCGGAGATCAGTGGGTCAGTACAGGTGATGAATACAAAAATGAACATTAATTTCAAAAAAAAAAAAATTTTTTGAAAATTTTTATTTTTGAAATCGATGAATATAAAAATGAAAATCAAAACAATTGATTTCAAACATGCAATTTATTTATCTGGATAATTTATATTCCTATTCTTAGTTAATATTTGATATAACTTCAGATATATAATAATAATAATATATTAATTGTTGACAAAACATGATATTATATGAACGTTTTCCGGTTTTTTATTGTATTTATAGTTCTCTACCAGAAGCGCTTCCGACGCGAGCGGAAGATCCGCATCCGCTATCAGCAGCAACTTGGTGGCAGCAGCGTTGCAGCGAAGGGAAGTCCAAGTGCAAACGGGAGCGGGGGCGGCGGTGATACCAAGTGCAACAACAACAACAACAATAATAACAACAACAGCAACAGTAGCAGCCACGGCGGAGATGTGGAGACGATGAAAGGTGAGTTTCGGGGGTCAAGGACACGCACAACGCATGGCTAACAGATCCCCCAAAATCCTGTACCACCTTTTACCCACTCCACCCCAAAACACATCCTCCCGAATTCTCTAATCAGATATTGATTGCGAAATAGATCCAAGCCATTCATAAAGAAAAACCTCAAATAGTGTAGATTCTCAAAAAGGCTCTAAGCAATAACTATAAAACTCTTTAGCAATACAAAGTATTAGATCTAATATGTAAAGTAAGAATAAAGAAATTTAAATACCCTATTAATTGCATAACTAGCTTACTAAAGCACTCTTCTGATTGTCAAAATAAAATGTTTAAAATCATGTTAACTGTCCCTCACTCCACCCTCCCCAAAAGAAACACCCAGTCCAACCCCGAAATGCCACCCTACGCTTTTTAACCAACACAGCGCCCTCTTCTATTGACCATCTTCCGTAGAAAACGATGCCGGCAGCGAAAAATCGGACAAGTCGCTGGCCAATTCTAATTCCTCCTGTGATGTGACCGCCGGACAATCGGCTGGATCTGCTTCCGGTTCCATTTCCGCCGGCCTCAACTGCCCGGATTCCCCCACCCACTTGAAGCGGGAACCGCACTCCGATCACGAGGGCTCCGTGGAGCGCCAGCCACGCTCCTCCGCCGCGTCCTTTGGAGCCCACGACGAGGACAACGCAAAAAGGTATTTAACACGACTTTTTATATAAGTAACCCAGTTTTATAATTACAATATTAAGAAAGAAATATTTGGTACATACATTTATAACAATTTTCAAGCTTCGTTAGAAAAATGTATAAGTTCTTTAAGTTGCTTTCTGTTCTGTTTTCTTAACTATTGTTCGCTTAAAACAATTGTAAATTTTGCATTTCATTAATATATCAATTTGTATTTTCTATTTAATTTATTTTAAAAGGTGTGGCAGTCGCGATCGGGATGAGCGGCCACCCAGCGGATCTGCCGCAACAACAACAACAATAATAACAACAGCGGCTGCAGCTGCAGCGGCGACCGCCATCAACGGAAAGGGTCCGTGGAGCTATCCGGGCATCGATCTGATGGCCACTGGAGCCTTCTGGCAGAACTACTCCGGTAAGTTGAGAGTCAATATAATAATACATAATACCCTAAGTCATAATTTTATTAAAAAAAAAAAAATGTAACAACAAATTTCAATATCTTGATGAACCTCAGAGAAAATGAAAATTATTTTTTGGAACTTTTAAATATTTTTGTTATGAATTTTATATCATCTTATCTTATGCCCCATATTTTGCACTCTGGCGGTGTTAAAAAATCTCCATATAAACTACTTGAAATGTCCTTCTTTTTTATTGATCTCTTACCAAACATTTTCCCATTTTTGTTTCTGTCTTGAAGAATCCTTGGCCCAAGAGCTGGAGATGGAGCGCAAGAGCCGAGCGGCCAATGCCGAGCGGGACGTGAAGAGTCCGCTTTCGGAGCGACCGACGGCCTACTACAAAAACTCTGTGCTCTTCAGCAGCGCCAACTAGACACCTGGAAAGGTGAGGTGCAAGGATTTATTTGATCTCAGAGTGCAATCCAACCCTGCGGCGGCTCTTCAGTGGGAGTTAAGGAAACTAAAGTGAAGTGTACATACCTAAGAAAGTTTGAAATGGAGACCAGAGTATGAGTTTTGAGAACGTTGCAAACGTTTGAGCGGCCATTTTGTATATAGAGAAACTATAGTGAAAAGATGAAAAGAACTTCCGAAATCCCATTTAGAGTGCTTAGATCTTATAGCGTGCAGTTGTAAGCTTACAGTTACGTTGTATATAGCAGCCGATACGAAAGACTTTTTAATGAATTGAAAAACGATAAGCTGAAAACCCACATAGGCAAACCTAGCATTTAACTTCCCCAAAAAGAAACCATTTTTAGCGTTGCTTATAAACCTTACGAGTTAGCTTCAATTTGAGTATATATAAATGTAACGGAAATCTATGTAATTTGGACATATAATATATGCAGTAATACGTAGTTATTTAGGAAGTAAACAAGGTAAATTTAACGATCCGCTTTTTAGTGTTTTAAACGATGGACAAACCTTTGGTTTATTTTACGAGGTAATTTTTCTAGAGCTAAGATTTTAATTTATTCACTAGCCTAACAGAAGTGCAGTAAGCCCGTAATACTTATAATAGCATATAAAAATAATTAACTTCAAGTATTTCACTTGCCTAGACGGTAAACAATAATTCATATTATATATATCTAATAATAAATATTAATAATAAATGCTAAACAAAACAAACTTGTATGCCCGTTACAAAAAGCAAAACAAAAAACATAATGAAGGAAAAACGATCAAAAATAGACATTAAAAACTATTTAAACGCTTCATATGCTATTATATATACACCCTATATATATACACATTAACTTTAGTCATAACAATAGTCAAAGAACAAATAATTCCGCGAATCAGAAACAACAATAACGGTTCATATATTGTGCAACATTTCGCCGCTCGCAATAAAAACACAGAAATTAATATAATAAATACAATTAAAATAATACAGCAACCGGCAACAGGCAGACAGAAAAACACCAACAAGCAAGCGAAAAAGTTTAAAAATAATATATAATAATAAATTATTATTGCAAAAATAAAAACAAAGTTTGTTTATTTATTTTGGAGTGTGGGCGACGAAAATTGTTTTGGGCAACTCAATGATTCAACATGCTAACGATTCTTATACAGGATTTAAATATTGCTCAAAAAATTTAAAACATTTTTTAACATGGAAAATCGTGATTTCTTATAAAGGACTTACAAGTTAATTTGCTAAATTATTGAAACACTTTTTGTTTATTTTGTAACCCCAAATAAACCAGGAATAGCTTCACGAAAAAGGTCACCAAGTTCAAAAAGCAGGAAGCGCTATTGTTGTTGATTTGTTGAATTAATGATCTGAAAATCATTCGCATAGGATGTACCTTTGTTTAATTGCTGTCTATACAAAAGTCTTTATGATTCGCAGATTAATTTATTGTATGCGGGGCCTCAATTTGGTCTAACATATGCCATGTCTATGCGATTTTAGCATTTAATTATAGCACCCAGGCAGACGTTCATCAGAGAAGCGTGAGATACTCGCAAAAAAGATACGAAAACCAATCGATCAGCGAACCCGGCAAATTCTTGTTTCTCTTTTTTTTTTTTTTTGGCCATCAGCTGCGAGGCGCGCGTTTGGACAGTTATCGATCCAGAATCCATAAAATGTATACGCCAGATGATGATTTATGCGTCTGGCTCAAGGGGATCAAATCACTTTGGATCAGCTCTCAATCTCTGATTGGCGCGCAGAAAACCACGCGGAATCAGATTCAGAAACCGAAAATGCATATTGTGATTATGATTATTGGTAAATTATATTTAATTTACAGTTAAACGATCACGTATGTACGCCAAAGGCCCCGAAAATGTTTTCGCTGGATCGCCGAGCCGCAAACACACTCCAAAAATACCTTTCCGACCTGACCTCAATTATCGATTTAACTTTATTATTGGTTTTGATTTGGACTTTTTGATTTTCGAGGGCGCATCTTCAGCAAAAAGTTGAAATTAAAAGGAATGCTGTTGATTGCTATGTTCTGTTCGTCCCGGGGGAAAAACGGCAATACGAGAGGTATGGAAGATATGTGTCGCTGGATCTGAAGCATTAGGTGGGCAGGTCGCTTAATTCTCGTTAATTTCTCACTGGCAACGTGCAACGTTTAGCTGATTGCGGGTTTCCCACTTGATCGCTGCTCCTTTTCCCTTCGATTCGGGACCTAAATTGTGGCAATCATATTTTGTGTTAAATGCATTAATTTTAAGGGGTCCTTGTCTTCATATATATAACTGTTATTTCGGCCTTTTGCTGAAACTCGTTGACAATAAATCAGATTTATTTGAGGGGCGGTTAAGGACCAGTTTAAATTGGGTTAAACAAGAAATCATGGATCCGAAAGCGAATTTTTTATTGTACAAGTACCAGAAAAATAAGTGTGTCCATTTCAAGTAAATAAAAATAAATTTTATACAATTAGATGGTAATAAATATTCTCATTACTTAATAGCTCAGCATGCTCGCCTTTTTCTTTAGAACTCAACATGATCGGCACATCCTTAATCTAATTTACTAATCGCTTTCCAAAGAACCTTAAACATGCCCGACCATAGATCATCTGGGGAACATCTAACAGCTCTTTCATTGTAGCTGTTGTCAGGGTCCATAGATCATGATTCTCCTCCCGGATCGTGGATCGTGTATGCTGTTGACAAGCAACTGTCACCACCATCGGCCCAGGCGCCATATTGTTGGGGCTCCACTTCGACTTCCACCTTTACCTCTACCTGCATCTTCCGGCGCCGAATTCATCCATTTACCTTGGGCCTCCATGGGGCAGAAGCAAAAAGCTGCGGCCCCAACATCATGGCAGGCAATTTCCACACACAAATAAGCCGCCAATTTGCCCCCAGTAAAGGGAAGATGCTCCATAGACCAGACGACTGCAACAAGGCAGGCGAAACCCGCCAGACACTACGTCAACTCGGCAGACACGTGAACTCGAGTACTATGGGATGATTGCTAAAAAAAGTACAATAAATTTCTGATTTCTAACAGCTAATTAAAATCCAGAATAGGTTGTAAGCTAGTTCAGTTTTATATAAGCGATTTGCATCTAAAGTTAAGACCACTAATATATGAAATAATAAAAAACTTAAGACGAGGACTTTAAATAAAAGTTTGTGAACAAATTATTTTATCCGAAGTAGTAAAGGACTTACTTCACTTTAAATTAAATGTACACCGATTTAATTTCTGATAATTGTTAACAGTTAAAAATATATGGATATATACATTAATTCTACATAAACACTCGACTAATACCAACAATAATTTGTGTTTTACCCATAGTCCTGGTTAGCAAATCTAGGCATCCCTTGGCCGCTTCTTCCTCGGATGAGTCGTTGGTTATAAATCAGTTTGCGCGGCTTTTAATAAATTGTAATTGAGTCGCGAGTCGCGACTGCAGCTCATAGATACATTTGTATCTGCTGTTTAGCTGCTTAGCTCGTCGGGGCTTGTATCTTTAGCTTTTGGCTGCGATTGCGATCGCGTGTGGGAATGCAAAAGGCGAAGATTCGCGGGAGAATCTCGAGCCCCAGACTCATAGCCATACCCCTACCCATACCCCTACCCATACCCATACGATCCGATTCGATCCGAACCGATGTGATCCTTATGGCTGCTGCTAAGTTAACCCCTCTGCACGCTCCTGATGTTGTTGTTGTTGTTGTTGTTGCCGTTGTATACATGGCACTTTGCCGGCTGTCGCCACTTCGGTTGTTTGGTTGTTCGGCTGTTTGGTTGTTTGGTTGTTCAGGTTCCCCCACCAACCCCTTTCCCTCGGTCTCATGCTCGAAAATCACGTAATGAAAAATGTTTTGTGCGCAATTTTTCTTTTCATTTGTTTCGTGCCTCTCCAGCTTGCGAAAAAGAAAAAAGACTGTTTTGTTTCGCTGTTTGTGTGTGTCGAGCAGCAATAAAACCCATTGAACACGAGTTGCTTTCGAGGCAACATGAACAATTAATGCAACATATGTTAGCGGGCCGCAGAAACCGCAAAGCGAGATCTGCAGCGAGATGATCCTTTATGCATTTAATGGCCAGCCAGACAAATCGAATTAGTTGCCAACGCTCGAGGTTGGCAACACGCGAGCGGAACTAGCCAAATAGAACTTGGGAATTTGATTCAGCGAAAACCGAAATTCTCTGTTCGCACTATTGCGTACTCTAATTAGAAATTTCTCTAAAACGTGTACATAAATTTGGTAGATGAAACTGGTATATAATAACAACACAATAATGACTTTTATATGGAAAAGATCTTACGTTTTTAATTTGTTAGAATTAAACCAAAATCATCATTTTATAATATTGAAATTCCCTGCAACATGAGCAGTATATTCAATCAACTTCCTGCCCCAAGTGTATTCTAAATTAATTTCATAACTATGATTACGGGAAACTCCCCCAAATCCAAACAAACTCCTCTAATAGTTACAACTAGACTTTTTCTTATTGAAACTTTTTTTGCAATCGACAAGCAGCAAATGGTTCGATCGATTGCCAAGATACGAATTAACCCAGCAGATACGCAGCTGCAATCACACCGATTGCCAATGCATATGAAAAATTGTACTTTTAATTGTATCTGCTTGCCTACCCGTTTTAATCCAATCCATTCTATCGGGCCATTGGCTATAGACCAGGCTCAGAGACTCCCATCTCCTCATCGCTTCTTTAATTGCTTCGCAGTGGAGGAGAACTTGTATTTGTTTTGAGACTTTTGGGCGGGCAATTTATGGCTTATCATTTTTTGTGCTTTTAATTTCTGTTTGCCTTTTCCCAGGTGGGTGTGATTATGGCAAAGCGGAATGGGTTTGGGATTCCTCATGAGCAGGTGGATTGGCTTGGGTTATGGGTCAGTTGAAATGGTCAACGGTAAAGATTAAAAAATGTCAGATTCACATGCGATAAAGCAAAGGAACATTAATTCTTAAATTAAGTGTTAGTTAAGTCAGTGTAATTAAATAAGTTCCAACAAAGAAAAACATTCCTTTGCTGAAAAGAAATAATCTTGAATTACTATTGTCAAAGGAGTAGGATATTATAAATCGGACTTGGAATTTCTGGGATTTTCATTCAAAGACATCTATCTATATAATCCCCTCTTTATAGGGGTGCCCCCCCTTTAAAACAGCAGACATCGACAGGTGCTTTTGTTGCCGTTTAATTTACCTCCATGCAAGCGTCTTGCGAATTCTTTGTCAATTCGAATGCAATTTTAACAGAAAAAACGAGAACAGAGGAAACCCGCAGAAGCCGCAACAAAAATCCGCTGGGCTCAAACAAAAAAGATGGTTCTTTGTTACTTAAAAGCGGAGAAGAATGGGTAGCAGGGGCAACAAAAAAAACTTATTTCATAAATCCTTGAGTGGCTCTCTGGCGATTCTAATGCACTCAGGCAAGAAACGAGGGGAGTTCTTGGCACTGCCTTTGTGTTATTGAAGGGATAACTACTTATAAATGTGGCAACAACATGCAACTATCTTTTGAAAAAAGATTAGCGAAAGGCTTACATAACATACGTGGATGTGGTTTGATTTTTTTTCTCGCTGGCAGCTGACACAGATACAGATACTTTGTGAACTATCCACCGAATGATTACAGCAATCTTTGAGAATCTTTTTCGGTTGAAGGAGCGCCAGCATGCCGGCTGACAATTCAAGTGGAATTCTTTTTTTATTTTCATATTTCTTTTCAGTTTTCTTCTCGTTTTTTCTCGTTGTAGTAGTAGTAGTTGCCCAGCGGTTATCCGATATTATTTCGCTAATTCGATACTTTTATTTCAAGCAAACGGGTACCTACCCTCTCTCGCCATCCTTTCTTTGCATAATTTTTCATAATTTTTCTTATTATGATAATTTTGCTGGCGAAAAAAAGTATAATACAAATTTTATGTGAATGCAATCTGATCCGTTATTTATGTGCCACATAATATAGTATGGTCTGCGGGTCGGGTCCTTGTC